TAACACTGGCTGACTGGGGAACTGGTTGGTTGAGAAATTATGTCTGGGGAATTCTGGGAATTAAAGTCCACACAGTTTAAACAATCCAAGGTTGGGAAACACTCCTTGTTTTTAATTAAAAGAACACAAATTCAAAGTGGGGCAAGAATGCTGCCCAGGATACAGAATAACAGAGTTGGAAGGGACCTTGGAGGTCATCTAGTCCAACCCCTTCCTCAGGCAAGATAACCTATACCATTTCAGACAAATGGTTGTCCAATCTTTTTTTAAAAACTTCCAGTGTTGGAGTATTCGTAACTTCTGGAGGCAACACATATAGCTTTCTTTTAAAATGGGCATTAAAACCTAATATTGAAATTAGAAGTCATGACAGACTTAAGAACAATCCTCAAAGTTATGATTGACAACTCCCCTGTGATTGATCACATTTCTGATACTTGGCAGCTGCCTTGCATTTACAGCTGGTTACAGCATTCCAAGATCACATGCTTGCGATTTGTCATGTTTCCTACTGAAAACGTAAAAAAAACCCCATTGGATATGCTGGATTTCTTTTTTTAAAAAACACATTTTATTGTTTTTTTAATTCTTAAGGAAAGGTACTCAGGATACACCGTGGTGTTTGGGTAATCAAACATTCAAAAGTGAAAACATATATAAACAATTCAATACATTCACTGTCCCCTCTCTATTTCCCTCAAATAGCATAATACATTTAAAATATTCCATTTCTAATTTAAATTTCTATTACTGCTAAACCTGTTTTAAAACTTTGTCACTTTACAATTACCATAGTCAAATTTAACTTTAAATCAACAAGTTATCAATTCAGGTATCCCTTCCAGATATATTCTAATTCTTAATCTCTCACATCCCTCATTTTATCACCAATCTCATTTATTTCTTTTTCCACTACACAATAGATATCCTAATTAAAATAAAAAATTAATCTACCCTATACATATATAATCCCACAATCAATCAATCTCTTTAAGATAACAGAATAATGTTAAACCTTAAATCATTTCAATTCATTAAACAAAATTCAAATTTCATCCAATTGATTATCATGCCTTATCACATCTATGTTATCATACAGAAAGGTCATTTTACTAATTTAAAACACTCAGTTAATTATTGAAACCATCCAAATCTAAAAAGTCAACATTTTTTCAATTCCAATATATAATAATTTTCATCAAAATAAATCTATTATTCCAAAAGGTACATTCTTAATCTATTTAAAATATCTATTCTAATAATCACCCTTCTATATGTTTTTATTTTTTTCTTACTTCTAACTCTAAATCTTAATCCTTAAAACAGTCCATAAATCCAACATTGCCTTTTAATCCATTACACAATTTTAAATTTCTTTTTTCAGTCTGATTCTGGCTTTTTTCTGTGCCAGGCAGGTTTCCATAACCAAGCTTCCCTTTCAGCCAGTAGATCTATTTTTGTTGCTAGCAGTGGCTTTTGAAAGGATAGGAATCCCATCCTCTGCATTAGACATCTATTTCTCTCATCCTTAAAGCATCGTTGCTTTGTAGTTTCAAATCTCACTCTTTGCTTCTTCTGTTCCTCAAAGTTACAGATGGAAAGTTTATAGGATAGAATAAGTTCCTCTTTTATCTCTGTTGATTCCTCTTCTAGTATGTTTTGATTTATAGAATAGTCAGATGTAGTCTGGACATCAGTTTGAAGTGAGATTTCTGGATCTTAATTCTGTAGTGAACTCTTTCATTGTAGCACATATTTCTACAGTAGCCTCATAAAAAAGAGTCCCTTTTTTCTTTTTTTGTGGAGGCTATATTTAATAAAAATTAGGCAGTGTCCATCCCCACAATTCTCACAGCTGCACAGCTTATCTTTTCTCTTCAAAAATAATTTGAAGGTCAGGTCTATTTCATCTTCAAAGAGTAACCAAAAGTTGCAGTACTAGATGTCCTCAGTAGGTTAAAAAAAGATCTTTTCCAGACACCATTTCCTTTTTTCTATATTTTAAAGTATAATGTGAAAAAAGAAATAATCTTCCAGCATAAGATGATAGTACAGTTCTTAGAAAGAGAGAAAAAAAAACATTTTTCTGTACCCCCAAAAATATGGAAATAAAATATAGTCTTTAAATTTTTGTTCTATTTTTATACAACGCCTTTCTTCCCAAACATGTAGAAGCTGCTTTTCCAAGCCAGGGAAATAATTCCAACAAGGCTCTTACAGGCACAAAAAACAAAATAGAGTAGAGAGAGTAGCAAGGAAAAGTCTTACCCGGATTCACCACGGAGGTTCTTACAGCTTAGATGTTCTTTGACTTGCGGTTTATTGGCCGATCTTCTTCTCCGTCGGCCCTCAGAGATAACTTGGACAGCTGGAGGAGCCGCCACTCCTCTGTAGCCGAGGAAAGCCTCCTCGACAGAAGTCGCACCCTCCAGGGCGACGTTCGACCCGCATAAGGGTTTACCGGCGGAGGGAAAACTAGTCGACGAGGAGACAAGTCTGCATGTACGACTAGGGACGCTGCGAACCGGAATCGGAAGTCATGCTGGATTTCTTGATGACTATGATGACTCACTTAACAAACATTGCAAAAATGACTGTAAAATCAAGCCCAGTGATATGGTATCTCAATTTATGACTGCAGTGACTTAGGACCAAAATTCCAGGCTCCATTGTGGTCAAAAGTCAAGGACTACCTGTATGATGCCTTTTGCTGCTTTCCAGCCTTACATTAACCTGGAGAACAGACGTTACTCTGGCAGAACTAAGATATGAGGATTTATTTCAACTTGACAATAATGTTTGCAAGATAATTCACATTATCTTGCAATTATTTGGTCCATTTTCTTGTCTTATCCAATGTATACAGAAATATGACAATATTCATACTAAGAAGACATAGTATCTACATAATGCTTTTGTTGTACATCTCATAAACAGCATGCTGAAATTCAGAAATAGGATCTACGTTGAACCACAGCACTGACCCTTTGCATGTTTATCACAACCTGAACTCTTCTCACTAAATGGGATCTTAGGGCATTACTGTGCTTGTGGATGACTGGGACCACAGAACCAAAGCAGTACCAAAGTAAAAGCAACATTACAGATGTGGCTGAATGAATTCCATTCAGAAATATTCTTTCAAGCAGATTTCTCTATTGTTCTATATCCAGGGCTTTTTTTTTTTTTTGTCATAGAATGCCCAGAACGGAGTTCTGGCACCTTTTTTGTATGGAACCTTGTAGGGTGGGCAAGATGGGTTGTATGACATATGTGAGTTCCGGCACCTTTTTTTTTTTTTTTTTACAAAAAAGCACTGTCTATATAGACAGAATCTTGCCAAACTGAAACAGACTATTATTTACATGAAGTACTACTATATGAACTACTAGGGAGGGGCTGTCTTCACCCTCTTTTTCTCAGCCTAATTATCTGAACTGAGTTGTCTCTTACTTCTCTGGAATGTACGCCCTCCCTCCTGGAATCCGGCCACTACATTCCATCACATCAAGTTCCAGATGGTGTTGATCCCTCCAACCATCCATAAATAAAGGAAAATGTTGATCTGCTCAATATAATATGAAAAAAGAAGTACTATACAGAAAAAATATTGTTGTTATATGATGGTTAGAAATCTACATATAATGCTTGTATATAATTCAAACAGTTAATAAATGTTCCTGACTAATCAAGGAGTTGGACCAACTACTGTTAATATAAATTTATAAAAATTGAAAATAAACAATGTTCTATTTCGTTCATTTTTTTCTCATATAGTTCTATAATTCATATTGAACTTCCATATACTCAGCTACACAAGTATCTAGTTCCCAATACATTTTTTTCTCTAACAAAGCAAATGTCTCCAGCTGTTGTCCAAATGGCCTCCAAGCTTTACAGTTAAAGTACTAAATTGGTCCAGATAACTGAATGGATATTTGTGGCTTGTCTTGGTCTATTCACAAGAGTTTGCAGCTACTGCAGCAATCTCTACCTTAGATGTAAACTGAACTTCTTAGCAACTAAGAAGTCAAAATAGACACGACTTAAAAGTTTGAAATTAGATTCAGTCCCTAGCACAGTGATGGTGAACCTTTTAGAGGCTGAGCAACCCAAAGCCCACTTATTTATTTCCGAGTGCCAGGTGGGTGGGCATGGCTGTGGTGGTCATGGCAGATTGGGTAGGTATGGCCAAGGTGGGCGTGATCACCTCAATGTTGCTTATAGGGAGGGACGCCTGTGGGGGGTAGGCAGAGTTGGGGGAGATCCAGGGTGTCTCTGGAAGGTGGGGTGGTGGCAGGAGGCTCATCTGCGGGGTGAGGCAAGGCAAGGCAGGGTTGCCATTGCCATGGGGCACGGCAAGGGCCGGGCGGCTGCTGTCTGATACCATTGGCCTCTGCACACAGAGGTCAGCGAGCATATGGGGACCGACAGTGTCTGTCAGTAGCCACAGCCTGCTGGCCCCTCAACTGGCTCACTCTGGGGCTCCGCAGCTCGCCGCCAGCAGTTCAAAGAAGCTGCCTCTGAGGTGGATGGCTGGGTGACAGCTGAGGAGGCGATGCAGTGGGTCATGCCTGGGAAAAGGAGAGCATGCGAGGCCAGGAGGAACGGGACGGGGGAGAAGGAAACCAGCTATGCCAGGATGCATCCGGCCATGTGGGACCTTGGCGAGTTAGCAGGTGGCTGGTTGAATAGGGACAATTGCCATCTCCAGGACATGGTGCCCGTGCCCACAGAGAGGGCTCTGAGTGCCACCTCTGGCACGCGTGCCATAGGTTCACCACCACTGCCCTAGCATCTCTGATTGAAAGGATGATGCTAGAAGAAGATTGTTGGTAGGTCACAGAAGGATGCTTCAGATGGATAATGATATATTAAGGAACATAATAACTGATTTATTTCCTACTGGAAACTCCAAAAATCCCTAACTAACTCTAGCCAATGTTTACACTTTGTTAGGGGTGGGGCAGCAAAGTTTCTTTGTAAGTCTGAAGGAGGTAGTAATAGCCTTGGCAATTCACTCACTATCACTTTCAATACTTCTGGTATATGAGGAAACATGAATGTTCACTTTGTCCTCATCGCATTTGGGATTGTCCTAGTTCATTATATGTCTGGCGGTAAGTCATTTCTAAGCATAATAGTGATTTTTTACATTTGAAGGGGGGGTTCCAACGCAGTTTGCTTTGTTCAGAAAAATAGTTAACTCATGCAGTAGTCATTACTGTCATCTTTGAGTGAATGATTCTGTTTTTAGATTTACCAGTGAGATCGTGGAAGTCCATGTTCTATTCATAAACAGGACAACCACACTGAGAAATTCTTAAATTCTGAACTTGGAAGAAGAAAGGTAGCAGTTTAAATAAGGAAGCACAAGCTGACAATTATTAATCTAAATATTTATATCAGAACAAATGTGCTAAAAATAAAGTAAGAGTAGATATGTCTTCATATGCAAAAATGTGATGAATGGAGAAGGAAGCAGAGACCAGAGTATCTCCTCTATGTAGTAGTTTATTTAAAAAAAGACATTCTATGAGTCAATTAGATTTTAAAAAAGAAAAAGAAACAGAAGCAGTGAGAGGTAGCAAATGTTACCAAAGAACAGCTAGGGATGGTTGTTAAATCATTTCTTTTTAAATACATTTTGCAGTTTAAGTCACCTATACAAATCTCAAAACTCTTTTTAAAAAAGTTATTTTAAGTACAGCCCTTCTTAAGAGAATATATTAGGTAAAATGAATGGATGTAGAGAGTTTTCTTTGAATTAAATCCTTTTTCCCTTACCTACAATACTGTCTAACGTATTTCTGGCTCTGTAGCATTGCCACATCAGGAAACTCCTGCTAGCTAGCACTATCCTGCGTGTACACAAAGCCAGTTGGGTTCCAAGAATTTAAAACAAAGCATTTCCTGCTATTGCTTATTGTCCATCTGTGTACTTTATGTGCCCAAAGATTAAACTGTCCTAACAAGACCTGTGCTATAGATCTGTATGATTTGGGGGTGCAACAAGTGGTTTCTAGGGTAAAGACCTCTGGTGAACCCACATTTCCAATTAAGTTCTTCCTACGTGTGCAAACTAATCAATTTCTTGTATTGCCCAGCTATTAATACTGAGCATGACTTTCAGTGACTTTTAATGGAACGTCCTTTCAAATGAAGGTCATAAAAATCATTATCCTTAATTAAGGAAATGTTCAGGTGGAAAGATAGCTTGGTGATAAACATGGCTATTATTATTGCCTTTTCCTTTAGTGCACTGTGAATAAGGATGTAGTCCATAATATGCAAATCTTGTGCTTTCTTTAGTTGACAAGCCTCTGTTTATCATAAACTGGGCTTCATGAAATATGCAAGAGTACCCTGTTGGCTAAAAGAAAAGAAAATAATTCCTAAAATACTACAATCTTCACAATTTAGTGGGTTTTGCTAGCTTGGGATTCTGGAAGTTTTACTCTACATCTGGAGACAATTAAGTTGGAGATAGCAAAAACAGAAAGTAAGCCTTGTTGAATATTAATAATATTTTTAAGTAAATATTTATAGAACTAGGCTATATGTATTTAACTGCACCCACAATATATCTGAAATATCTCTTATGATGATAGCTTTCCCACCTGATACTTATTAGCCAAGTTTCTTAATGGATCTTTTAAATAAAAAACACAATGGAAAGATGGTTGTGTTGTTGTTTGCTAAGATTCTTTTATACATGTGCCTCTTATTTGGGTCATTGACACTTCTAATCAAAACATTTGCCTGGCATATCTGTCTTTCAGAATCTTTCCTGATGACAACTTAATAGTAGCGCTTGTCACAGCTTGACTCTCTGGTATCTGACAGCAACATTCTCAACCAGTAGAGAATGCATGGTTTGGCATTTCACATATTGTCTTAGAGCTTGTTAAAGAGAGTTACAACTTGGAACTAGAGAAAAAATTCCTGACAGTGAGAACAATTAATGAATGGAGTTGTGAGTGCTCCATCGCTGGAGAAATTTAAGAAAAGATTGTATAGCCATTTCTCCAGGATGGTAAGGATAAGGTCTTCTGCCTTGGGCAAGGGTTTGACTAGAAGACCTCCAAGGTCCTTTCTAGCCCTATGATTCTATGAGTTCTATGAGACAATGATAGAAAAGCTGGCTTGAAAATATCAGCAATAATAATAATGAAAATCTTGAGCTCATTAGAGAACTCCCAGTGGGTCTAATGAGAATTTATATGTGAGAAGCTAATTTTGGATTGCACTGAGCATAACAACCAAATAACGTTTATTTCTTGGTCTAGCAAGTCTTAAAAGTTAGCACATAGCATAATCCAATTTCTAATGTGACTTCTGGATGTTAGCCAGTAAAATCTTTGGCATGAGTTCAATTAAATTTAGATTAATTATCCTGCAGTTGAATGCATAACTAATAAATGGAAGACAGTCCTTGGCTGTTACGTTGCCCTTATTCTGAACGTAGATAACTGCAACTGTTTTAATTCAATATGTGTATATTCTTACTCTTATTTTTTTGAATGTTTGCACAAACAATTGAACAAATATTCTAATCTCACCTGCTAATAAGATATACTCAAGATTTTGCCATGCAGACTCCACCAATATGTGGAAAAAGAAGTATGGATATGTCAATGAAGATTTAACAGAATAATAGAGTTGGAAGGAACATTGGAGGTCTTCTTGTCCAACCCCATGCTCAGTCAGGAAGCCATATACCATTTCAGACAAATGGTGGTCTATTTTCTTCTTTAAAATCTCCACTGATGGAACATCACCTGGAGGCAAGTTGTTCCACTGATTAATTGTTCTCACTATCAGGAAATTTATCCTTAGTTCTAGGTTGCTTCTTTCCTTGATTAGTTTCCATCGATTGCTTCTTACCCTGCCTTCAGGTGCTTTGGAGAATTGGTTGGTTCCCTCTTCTTTGTGGCAACCCCTTAGATATTGGAACACTGCTATCATGTCTCCCCTAGTCCTTCTTTTCCTTAAGCTAGACGTACCCAATTCCTGCAACCTTTCTTCATATATTTTAGTTTCGAGTTCCCTAATCATCTTTGTTGCTCATTTCTGCATTCTTTCTAGATTCTCAACATCTTTTTTACATCATGGTGACTGTTATGTCCCGAGCCTTGCAAACGGCTCGGGCGTTTGCAGGCAGTCCCGGGCAGGTGCAAAGCTGCCCGGGACCAGACAGGCTGTCGCCAGCGCCATGCGCATGCGCGGGTGCTGGCACGGGAAAAGTAACACATTTACCCGGGAAGCGTCTATATAAGAAGCTGGGAGGTTTTGGGAGATGCTGAAGCCATCTACTTGTAAGCTGAACGCTGAATAAAGGAAACTGAGAACTTCAACTGCTTCTCGTGTCTGCTTCCCGCCAAGGACTCAACACTGGCGACGAAGGTGGGATGCCTTGCACTACCTGGAAAGGAAGAAGTGTAAGCTTACCCAAGGAGTCCTGAGTGGCGGAAAGGAACGGCGTCGACTCGGCAGCTGCCCGCCAATCCGGTGCGCATTCGGGGGTAGGCTGGCTGATAGACCCGTCTCCTGAAGATCTAAAGATGGCAAAAATCGGAAGGCTTTCGGAATTCGACGTCTCACATCCAGAGCGGTGGGAGTCATACGTAGCCAGGGTGGAGAACTACTTCAAGGCAAACCAAGTGAGGGAAGAGAGCTTGAAGGCTGCCACCCTGCTTTGTGTTTGCGGTCAAGACGCCTTCGACATCGCAGAAAACCTTGCAGCACCTGTTCCAGTAGAGTCTGTCAGCTACGCAGATCTGAAGAAGCTACTGAAAGAGCACTTCCACCCCAAGATGTCCGTCATCGCATGGCGCCACACCTTCGAGCAGAGGGATCAACGGCCCGGCGAGTCGGCCAAAGAATTCATCGCCGCATTACGGAAGGCCGCCAAGCACTGCGAGTTCAAAGACCTCGAAGAACGACTGAGGGACCGATTCGTGTGCGGGTTAAGGCATCGAGATCTACAACAGAGACTTTTCGCTAAAGAAGAACTGTCCTACCAAGATGCCTTAAGGGAAGTCACCGCAGAAGAAGCAGCAGGCGGCGCTATCAAGAACATGCGGCCGATCAGAAACAGTCCAGAGGTTGCATCCGTGCACCAGGAAGACGCCCAAAGGAACTCCGAGGAGGATCCGGACGAGGAAGTCGACCGTCTCCACCCCACGACGGAAGAAAAACAGAAGGGAAGCTCTTCAGCTCCGCCCAAGTGCATCGGCTGTGGAGGTCGCCACAGGAGAACCGACTGCAAGTTCCGCTCCGCTACCTGCCGGGCATGCGGCAAACAAGGACACATTGCAGCTGTGTGTCTGGGCCGACGAAAGGTACAACCTCAGGAAGAACCGCGCCTGAAAGGTACCAGATTCCCCAGCCAGAATAGGGTAGGGTTTTGCGCTTCGCGAAGAAGCATCCTTAGGACAGGCACACACAAGCCAATTAAGAAAAAGCTGTCACTCAAGGTGAAGCTACAAGGGGTTCCATTATCTATGGAACTAGACACAGGGTCTGCCTTTTCAATTATCTCCTTGCATACATTTAGGAAGATTTGTTCCGGTAGTGGAACTCAGGCCAAGTTAAGGCCTTCTGACATTGTGTTAACAGATTTTCAAAATTCAAGAGTGTGTGTTAAGGGGGAGGCCACCCTTAACGTGCAATACAAGAGTTTTGAAGGTCCACTAGACTTATTAGTAGTAGGGGGTGAACGAACGAGTCTCATAGGACTCGATTGGTTTGAGGCCCTGGGGATACACGTCACAGGACTCAACAGTTACAAACACTCGACCTACAGGAAGTCTGCAAAGAATTTGCAGATGTTTTCAGCCCCCAGCTGGGCACATTCAAAGGACCCCCTGTGTCCTTAAAGCTAGACCCCACTGTCACTCCCATTAGAATTAAAGCAAGAAGGGTCCCTTTTGCTTTAAAGAGTAAAATTGACACTGAGTTAGACAAACTGATTCAACAGGGAATCCTAGAACCTGTTGATTCCAGTCCTTGGGAGACCCCCATTGTCACGCCTCTAAAGGCAAATGGGGACATTCGCATTTGTGCTGACTACAAATGCACTCTGAATAAGGCATTGCAGCAACATGCCTATCCTGTT